CTTTAGTTTTTAAATTTTACATAGCTCTCTTGAGTAAAAGGTCTTCTTTGAAAAAATTTTTTGAGAAGAAATTTTTATTAAGTATAATGATTAAACTTTGAAATGTCATTTCGTCGAAAATGTGTATATTTTATGACAATAGCGACCTCGAGATAATAATGCAAAATACCACTTTACCGAGTTTGTCCTTAATCGGTCTTTGACCGTATTTCCATGTAAATGTCCAGTCTCTCTTTCTCGTAGTCTTTCTTCTCTCTTTTTTTTTCTCAAACTTATTACAATATTTCAATAGCTAGGCTTGTTAAGGACTGCCTGTCGACGACATGTGTTGTACACAAAGTCCGGTAACATTTTAAATGTTCTGAAGCTATACTTTACCATATATAACTGTTCAAATCGTTTTTGTAATTTTTGAGAAATTAACAATATGATCTATTTGCGGCTGATTTTGAAGATTTGTGTTTTACTAATTTAAAAGACAATGTTTATTGATCATGTTTACTTAACTTGTACCTCCGTTTTTTCAAGTGGTTAGGTCACTGGCTTTTAACCAGAAGCTCTTCGTCGATAAAGGTTCGAATCCCGCCTGGAACTTTGGATTCTTTCATGCTAGCTAACGGAAGTTCAGTGGTGCTAATCGGGTGCCTATTCGAGGATGACATAATGCATGGAGATGCACCTGAGGTCTTCCTCCACAAGCAATGTTAGAAAAGCGTCATGTAACTTTAAAAGAGTCCACGTGACTGATTTAAAACCCAATCAAATATAATTTTATCAATATCGTTTGTTTTTGTTGTTCCGCTTTATAAACCTTAACGTAAATGCTCATTATATAAAATTAATTGGCATCCTCTATCTACTGAGTGTCTCTCAGAAATAAATACATAACAATAAAATAAATCAGGATACAAAAATAGCTACAAAGACCATTAACGACTGTGATCATGTTAACGATCGTTGACCTCTTGAAACAGATAAACACGGGTTCGTCTGGTGAAGCAAACAAAATGAGCCGCGTCATGACAAAACCAACATAATGCGTTTGCGACCAGCATGGATCAAGACCAGCCTGCGCATCCGCGCAGTCTGGTCAGGATCCATGCTGTTCGCTATCAGTTTCTCCACTTGTTATACGGTTTGTAAGCGAACAGCATGGATCCTGATCAGACTGCGCGGATGCGCAGGCTGGTCTGGATCCATGCTGGTCGCAAACGCATTATGTTGGTTTTGTCGTGACGCGGCTCAAATGTTTTCAATAGTAACGACACTGGTGACAAATATGGGCGGAAATTGCAGGATACTTCTGTATGTTTTCTCTGTCAAATTGATTTTTGTAACTAAAGTGAGAATCGAGGTGGAAAGAAAAATGTTGACATAAAAAAACTAATTAAGGTTGTTTCTTACATTTGCCAACAACATGTTTACGACGAGAAGATAACATTTGCTTTTGCAGTTTCCTTATCGTATTAAAGGCATCAAATTTACAAAAATGGTGCTAGTTTTAGCATGCACTTTTAAGATGGTAAGAGTCATTTATTTTACTTTTCCTTTACTTTGACCTTTGCCATTTGTCTCAATTCGTTTCATAACTGAAAAAGGTAACAAAATGGTTTATAGTATTGATGAAATCTTTTATTATGACCAGGAATAAAATTTAAAAAAAAAAAACTAAAATGTAAAATTAAGATTTTTAGGACATATTTATAAATGATCTGCCTTTAAAAAGACCTAAAATGAACAAGAAAAATCAAATTCATTGGCAGAAAACAAAATTACGAGATCGACGATCCAGCACCCCCCAAAGTCCATTTGAGCCGCGTCACGACAAAACCAACATTATGGGTTTGCGGCCAGCATGGATCCGCGCAGTCTGATCAGGATCCATGCTGTTCGCTTATAAACCGTATATCAAGTAGAGAAACTGATAACGAACAGCATGGATCCTGATCAGACTGCGCGGATGCGCAGGCTGGTCTGGATCCATGCTGGTCACAAACCCATTATGTTGGTTTTGTCGTGACGCGGCTCATTTCTTGTTTGCATATCTACAGATTCATGGTAATTTTTCAAAAAATTTGAAAATATGTTTGCAACAGTGAATAAAGAACGTAATTTACACATTGCAAACGGCACTTACAAATCTACGAAAATAACCAAAATAAGGTCAAAATATGCAAAAAAGCCCTTAATGCGCAAGTCACCAGTTGAAATGTGATGATAAGAACTGCACAATCGGTCATTTATCATTTATTGCAAATAGATTGTGAATTATTACTAGAACCTTTAATATTCCTTTACTTCTCTAGGCCTAAGTACATTTTTCTAAAGTTTGAGTTTCTTGAAATATTTTTGGCTCATCTAGAGGCATGCTGCTTTGTCCTTTCTCTGCAAAGTTTAAATCAATTCTACGGAACAGTTTACGTTTATTGAAGCTGTTGTATGTCTTTAGAAAAGCAAACGTTATGTTATAAATGCATGAATGTTTTATATCTCTCGTCTTGGAATAATATATGGAAGGAGAATTTCACTTGTACAGATCAAGTTTTGTTAATTTGACATGATAAGCTTCATTTGATGAACTCGATACATGTGGTTCGCGTTATATCGTAAACACGCTTTTCGCCAAATCAGTTGCCTTTCAAATTTCTCGAGTAATCGTTGTATTTCGTTCTAAGAAATCATAGTATTGTACGATAAAATATATACATTTTATAATTTACTCCAATGTACATTTCTACTTTAATTCTTTACACGTGACCGATATAGCTGATATATTTTACTCCATTTTTTATAACTATGATAATTGATTCATATTTTTCTACATGAATATCATATCAGTGAGTAAAATACGGACTAGTCATTCGGATTCATTTGTCTTTCGCGTATATATGAAAAATTTCAGGTGTTTCGCTCGCTCCGTTTTCCAGAATAATCACTTATATTGTGAACAAAAAAGAACAGTGTTCAAACGGTTTTCACTCGAATCAGACTAAGAATTGTCGCAATAGATATTGATTTTAGATTTAATACTGAATATTTTCTTTATAGTCTTTTTTCATTCATAATCATATTTTCAGTTTTAAGTGCTACAGTATGTGAAATGTAAACGTAATGTTAAAGACTTTTGGACACTTAGGATTTAAACTTTCAGAAGGTTTAACAAGAAATGTGCAAACTTTTTTTCCCTTTTTTTTTTGAAAAAAAGAAAGCTTTGCAAAATGAAATTCGTCTTACACAGCTTGGATATCTTTAACTTATAAGGGGAAGTAAATGCAACTTTTTTCTCGCCAATAATGTATCAACAGTTGTCGTCCATGCGTTATGAATAGTTATGACCGGAGAATAATTTCACTTTATGACAGAGTTATGTAAAAAAGAACGTAGGCATCTCCGGCCGTCTTCGAGTGAAATATCTAGTGACAAATTACATTGACTAATAAAATGCAATAAAGCGAGCCGCATGAGAAGAGAATTTAGTATATTATTTGATTTGATTATCCTAGCTGTGAGTACACTGAAATTGTCCTCTAAGGTTTCATTTATATAATTGGATTTTCTCAATATAAGGGCTTAGCTGAAGAATGTGGATATGTATATTGACAGAAGAAAAGTAACGAAGGAAATGCTCCATGCTGGCTGCATTATTGTAATTGGAATGTAAGAGAAAGTTTGTCGTTTTAAGAGGAAACACAACTGGTGACTGTTTCTCCTATGGCAGGTTTTGTTTGTTTGTTCCTGCCAGGATTTTTTTTCGTATCAAAGAATATGTAAAACAGACAGCTTGTATCAAAACAAATGTTTAATTTATAAAAGTTCACTTCTTATTTTGACACCCCCATATTCAGCTCAAAAGATTGATTTGTTTGAAAGTGCAGTAAATTTGATGTTAACTTTCAAGCAAAATCGAAATAACAGTCTTTAAGTTACAGGATTTTTTTGGTATTTGAGAAATTTCCAAATTCCGCAATTACAATATACATATTACCACAAATAATGTCTTACAGGAAAGATCATTTTGGCTTATCTCGGGTGTTACAAACTTAAAGCAACACCAGGGGTCACAAGAGTATAGAGATGCATACACTCCAATTATTCGAGCCCATTTAGCCGCCTCTATCTATCACGCAAGGTTAAACGGTTTCTACTGTTATAATGCCTCAACCAGAAAAGGCAACCCCTCGGCCACAACGAACTTGAAAGGAGGCACAACGGAAAATGCGAGAAGTACACATAATTAAAAAGCAGCAAGATGTGAAAAGGAGTTTGTACACATTATGCACACATTAAAATGCTTGATTTAAATTTATAGACATACCCACTGAAAGAATTTATTACAGGTTGTATTTTCCCTTACATGTGTATATGAACAGACAAAAATTATTGATACATTTTCGTTGGCTAGGTTAAGTTATTAATAGATACATATAGGGCACAGAAGTGTTCTATTAAACTAGGAAACAGTAAAAAAATACAATACTTAACAATTTTCCAAATTATTGGTTTTCCATTGAGGTCGAAAAAGCCTTAAACATCTTAAACATGTAATTATAAATTTCTTACATAGATCAGCCGGGCATTTAAAACAAAAAGATATGCAAAAGATATTAAAAAATATACTCGGAAATAAATTGAAAATTGGGTTTTTTGTGCTATTCTTACCACAACGATTTCAACGATATGGGTGAAAAGCGTTGCAAGTTGTACTGCTTCGTACATTGTAACGATAGGTATCATTCGGTCTCATCTATCTCTTTGGTAATTAATTAAGTTATGAACACGATGTCATCTAAAGATACTTGTATGAATTATTTATATCTCAACATAAAAGTTTACAATAAATATGTCTTTTTAAACCTCTACATGCGATACGATACAAAATAAGTTTTAAAAACATATAATTATCAGAAAAGTCGAATACATTACACATCGAACAATTCAGCAATCACAGAAGAGTTATCTGTAGTGGCATTAAAAGTATTATAAAGAAAGATAACTCTTACCCGTCATATGGATTTTCTAGTATTGATTCCAAATCTGACACTGACCCTGGATCGTCTGCTAGCAAAAGTGGCATCCGCTTCCGGCTGGGAGAATTTTGCACGAATGATTCCGACATTGTTCGTCCATGCCTATAATTCAAATTTGTATCCGAACGGTACATATCCGAAGAACTGTTATATATATTACTTGAGTCCAAGCATGTCATGGAGCGCGGCCTCCGTGTTTTGAAGACATGATGTCGTTTTCGAATGTTATCACTTGACTGTCTCCGAGCAGGGTTGCCATTTCTATTATCCATACAGTTTGAATTAATATAGTTACTGCAATTTTGATTATTCGCTGCTGTATAATTACTCAATTCACTTCCGCTGCTTACACTTCCGCTACTTATACTATGTCTACATTCAGACAGGTTACACTGTGTTGAAATATCACGTTGCCATGGATACCGGGCCTCGTAACTTTCTCCAACAATATCCATATGAACAAACGGATGTAGAGACTGGTCGTTCTCAGGATGAATATTTGACTGGTTCCCATTTACTGCAGAACTCTCCTTAATCTCGTTATCATTATGACCATTTGTTGGAACAGAGAAGTCGCCTCTAGAGTCCATTAGATGGTTTTTATTCATGTCGACTGGTGTAACTAAGGGCAACACGGACGTGGAATTATATCTACGCATCATGATGTCCCTTTTCCTAATAGAAGGTGACCGTGACGATGTTATTGTCTTTTCACTACCATTCTGATGGGAATCAGTGGCGATCTTTTCAGTATAATTTCTAGATGAGGATGGTTGATTACCATACTGACTCCGGGGCCTTCGGGAATGGTCTCTTATAGGACGTCTTGGAGGCGGTGAAGGCGGGTCCTCCTCGGACGGTGTCGGTGAGGGTATGTTCTCAGACGCCGGCAGTGTTTGTGTGTTCACAGGTTTCCCCAGGTAAGGCACTTGCGAAACGTTTTCTGAAAAATACAATCATTAATACATCAATAGCATTGTATTATACGCGCAACTGGATTTTAAGAAATATTTGAAAAAAATAAATTAAATTATACACATGAGGAAAATATCTCACAAATTATTTCACAATATTTCACAATACGAGGTTAATGTCTCTAGCTACGACCAGATATTCTTGTGTTTATTCAAACGAACTCCTGTTAAAAGGTGTTAATAATCCTTCCTTAACATATGTTCATTTAAAAGCTTTAACGCGTCAATGGCATTGGATATTTTAGCCATTTTAACTTTTCTCTTATTGCTTAGACCGATTTTAGGACTTTTAGTATTTAGATTTAGAACGCGTAGTTTAACAAATTGATTCAATTTCTAATAATTCTTAGACGCAAGATTTGGTTTTCATATAAAATTTGTCTTAATGATCTTAAATAATTTTCCATATGTTATATTATGCGTAAAACAGCCGACAAGATTTACATCAAAGTATTAAATTTGGAAAGCAATTTGATTGAAATTCAATTCTTTGAAAACCTGCTCTATGTTCTGGTAAACATAGTTTACCGAAAATATACGCTTAACTGATTAACCGAGTAATAACTGTTGATCATCTTTCCGCGCTTTGACTAACAAAGAAAAAAAAACACTCTATGTCACGTTAACTTAATGGACTAAATGCCTCCTTTTTCTGGACACGTGAAATGAATTCATCCTTTAATGTTGGACTACAGAGGTTTATTCCTTAATGTGTCTATAATTTAATGACTCCTTGCATATGTTTTTGAATAACAAAACCAGATCACAGATAAATTGTTCTCCCAACGGCGCCATCACTTCAGTGAACTATTTCCAGGCTATTTATCTTATAACTAGACAAACGTCTTGTGTTTCCTTCCCTAAATGCAAGATCATGACAAATAGAACGATGAGTTCTTACGCGTGATGTTAGAAGTCACATGGTCACGTGGTCAGACACAATGCGTTATTATCTGACAACAAACATCCGGGTTCAATTTGAATTTAAGAAACAATCATGGAAAAAAAAAGCATGCATGATACCGATTCTTGTAAGTCTTGTATGATAAGCATTTACTTGAACCAGATTTTAGTAAAAAAAAAACTGCATGCACCAAATTTTACTGCGACCTCAAAACACATTGACACAAGTGCGACTGATGTTTCCTAACCCACTATCATAAACATGTATTTTAAATAACTAAACGAGCTAAATTTTATTCCTGAAATGACATTTTTTTATATATCAAATAAAAATGTTCGTGAAGTTGGCAGCCTAGCAGCCTAGCAGCCCAGCAGCCTGAAGTTGGCAGCCTAGCAGCCTGGCAGCCTAGCAGCCTAGCAGCCTGGCAGCCTAGCAGCCTAAAGAAAACTAAGAATAGTACAAACATGAAATCGTCGGATATGAATCGGAAGCACATACTTAGACCATTGCACGTCTTATTTCAGTATCGCGATCTTTATTTTTTTAAATATTGAACTTTGTTTTTTTTTTTTTATTTTGACGCTTCGAAATTTGTGAAGTTAGCAGCCTAGCAGCCTAGCAGCCTAGCAGCCTGGCAGCCTAGCAGCCTAGCAGCCTAAAGAAAACTAAGGAAAATACAAACATGTAAACCGTCGGAAATGAGTCGGTAGCACATACTTAGACTATTCCACGTCTTTTTTCAGTATCGCGAACTTTATTTTTTTTAATATTGAACTTTGTTTGTTTTTTTGGGGTTTTTTTTACACTTCGAAATTTGTGAAGTAAGCAGCCTAGCACCCTGGCAGCCTAACAGCCTAAATAAAACTTAGGACAATACAAACATGTAAAAGTCGGAAATGAGTCGGTAGCACATTCTTAGACTATTCTACGTCTTTTTTCAGTATCGCAAACTTTATTTTTTTTTCAATATTGAACTTTGTTTTTTTACTCTTCGAAATTTGTGAAGTTAGCAGCATAGCAGCCTGGTAGCCTAGCAGCCTAGCAGCCTAAAGAAAACCAAAGGATAATACAAACATGGAAACCGTCGGAAATTAGTCGGTAGCACATACTTTGACTATTCCACGCCTTTTTTCAGTATCGCGGCTATTGATCAAATGGGTATTGTTCTTAAGTTCAGATAATCTTTATGTTCATTAATGTGTTCGTTTAAACATATGCATTGTATATCTCTTTAAATTTCAACCGATTTATCTTTACAGACCTAAAATAAATATGCGTTGAACATCGTCAACTTCATTATAAACATATACATACAAAATAGCATATCATAAATAAGTCACATGACGTCGCTTATTGTCCATAGACAGCGACATTATTAGCCGCGAAAATGTTAAGATTAAGACTACTTCCTACGTTATTCGGAAACATGTTTAATCCCAAATTTCGAAGCGTCAGAATGAAAAATAAAATAAAATTCAACATTTAAAAAAACAAAGATCGCGATACTGAAATAAAACGTGGAATGGTCTAAGTATGTGCTAGCGACTCATTTCGTTTGTAATATCCTTAGTTTTCTTTAGGCTGCTAGGCTACCAGGCTGCTAGGCTGCTAACTCCACAAATTTCGAAGAGTAAAAAAAAACAAAGTTCAATATTAAAAAAAAATAAAGTTCGCGATACTGAAAAAAGACGTGGAATAGTCTAAGTATGTGCTACCGACTCATTTCCGACGGTTTACATGTTTGTATTTTCCTTAGTTTTCTTTAGGCTGCTAGGCTGCCAGGCTGCTAGGCTGCTAACTTCACAAATTTCGAAGTGTCAAAAAAAAAAACCAAAAAAAAAACAAACAAAGTTCAATATTTAAAAAAATAAAGTTCGCGATACTGAAAAAAGACGTGGAATAGTCTAAGTATGTGCTATCGACTCATTTCCGACGGTTTACATGTTTGTATTTTCCTTAGTTTTCTTTAGGCTGCCAGGCTGCTAGGCTGCTAACTTCACAAATTTCGAAGCGTCAAAATAAAAAAAAACAAACAAAGTTCAATATTTAAAAAAATAAAGATCGCGATACTGAAATAAGACGTGCAATGGTCTAAGTATGATCTTCCGTTTCATATCCGACGATTTCATGTTTGTACTATTCGATCTTAGTTTTCTTTAGGCTGTTAGGCTGCCAGGCTGCTAGGCTGCTAGGCTGCTAGGCTGCCAACTTCAGGCTGCTGGGCTGCTAGGCTGCTAGGCTGCCAACTTCACGAACATCAAATAAAATTATTTTGTTAAACAATATTTCATTATCATATGAAAATATCACGCGCATTATCACTTGAAATAAAACACGTGCGAAACTGCATTGGCCCAACATAACCTAGACAATATCGCGTAAAAATATGACAAGAAATACCGAATTTTAAAGAAAGTTTTAAAAAATTGTTACAATCATCCAATTAAGATAATTTGCGAACATACTGTACATACGGTGTCTTTTAAATATGGTTTCCATAAATCTCAAAGTGTCCATATCGCGGTCCTGCAAGTTTCTAGGATGTATCAATTCCATACAAAAACCTTATATCAAGAATAACTTGTTTACTCTAAACATTTACCACTGAATAACAAAAATGGACACAAATAAATCCAACGCGTTATTATTATTCCCATTTCTTTAGAGAGAGAGACGGATTCATATTGACTGATGTTTTCCTCATTTTTTTATAACAATTTTCCAGTAAATACTGACAACAACTTCAAGTATAAAGAAATCTGACATCTGCCGACACAATTAAATCTTTAGCTGTCATCAGAGACCGTTTCTGCTTGAAGTACAAGATAAACAGATTCCATTGACTTTCTCTACATCGTTCACTCGAACTGGGACTTCAAAATGTAAATATTAAAGACGCACTCGAGGGTTTGTTTTTATGACACATTTAAGGCTTGCCCAGAGACTTCTTCAATCTATTAAAAACATATGTGACCACGTTACTGCTGAGAATAATAAACGTGATTTATGACACACCTAGACTTATGTTTACCTTGACTTAATTAAACTGTCATCGTGCACAGGGGTTTTCCGTGAATGGTTAAAATGCTTGACAATAAATTCCGGGAATTTCACAATAAACTATTTAATAATACAAATATCATAAAAGTGTGATGATAACATAAATATTCTATGTGACATAAAATAGGCGTTATCATTAGATGTTGTCCTTGAGGTTTACATAAGTTATTATTCGTAGAAAGTAACAACACAGAACATAGTTTTTCATTTAGGATTTGATCATTTTGCTTCTCTACCGTAAGAACATATTAAATGATAGTTAAATATACAAATCTGTTTTTATAACATCACTTAAGATCGCATTCACCTGTACAACTGTAATTAGACAGTAGTTAACCCGTAATTAAGCAGTAGTTAACCTGTAATTAAGCATGCAGTAAACTTGTAATTAAGCAGTTGTTTACCTGTAATTAAGCATGCAGTAAACTTGTAATTAAGCAGTAGTTAACATGTAATTAAGCAGTAGTTAACCTGTAATTAAGCATGCAGTAAACTTTTAATTAAGCAGTTGTTAACCTGTAATTATGCATGCAGTAAACTTGTAATTAAGCAGTAGTTAACTTGTAATTAAGCAGTAGTTAACTTGTAATTGAGCAGTAGTTAACCTGTAGTTAAGCAGTAGTTAACCTGTAATTAGGCAGTAGTCAACCTGTAATTAAGCAGTAGTTAACATGTAATTAAGCATGCAGTAAAGTTGTAATTAAGCAGTAGTTAACCTGTAATTAAGCAGTAGTTAACCTGTAATTAAGCAGTAATTAACTTGTAATCGAGCAGTAGTTAACCTGTAGTTAAGCAGTAAATAACATGTAGTTGAGCAGTAGGTAACCTGTAATTAAGCAGTAGTTAACCTGTAGTTAAGCAGTAGTTAACCTGTAATTGAGCAGTAGTTAACCTATAATTAAGCAGTAGTTAACTTGTTATTGAGCAGTAGTTAACCTGTAGTTAAGCAATTACTAAGGCTATAATAAATTCAGCAACCGATCAGAATAAGTATAAAAGCAACAT